GGAATAAGGTAGCCATAATTCTATGGCTATTACGATACTCAGCCATAATCTCCTGGCTATGAGGAATAAGGTAGCCATAATTCTATGGCTATTACGAAGATAGCCATAAGATACTCATAATCTAATGGCTATGAGGCAGACATGGCTATGAGGAAGGTAGCAATCTTATGGCTATGAAGAAAATAGCCATAATACAGGCATAATCTCACGGCTAGGAAGCAGATATGGCTAGCTATAATCTCCTGGCTATAAGGAAAATAGCCATATATGAGGAAGACAACCATAAGACATCCATAAGCCAGACATAACATAGCCATAAGATAGCCATACAGCTATAATCTCCTAGCTATTAGGAAAATAGGCATAAGATAGCCATAATCTTATGACTATGAGGAAGATAGCATAAGACAGCCATAACATAGACCAAAGATGGCCATAAGATAGCCACAAGATAGCCATAAGAAAGCCATAAGAAAGCCATAAGAAAGCCATAAGAAAGCCAAAAGATATGCATAATATCAGATAGCCGTAAGATAGTCATCATCTTAGTTATGGTTAAAAAAGATAATCACGAGTCACAGCCTCCTCAAGAAGAGGAAGAACAGGAGGAAGAGGAGAAAGAGAAGGAGGAAGAGGTGACGCAAGAGGAGGAGAAGGGGTGGGGATAGGAGGACGCACGAGGAGGTGAAGAGTGGTTAGAGAAAGACAATAAAACTGATGATGACAATGATGATGGTGATTAAAAATGATGGAGAATGCAGACAAGAATGGCGATAATGATGATAAGCAGCTGCCGACAAGAATCGTGATGGTGATCTCATCATATCTTAATGGCCGTAATGATGAGGAGAATGAGGAGGAGGAGGAGGACGACGACGACGAACGATGCGACTTTACCTCCATCATTGTGATTGTCAGGATTGAGAATTTGCACACGTCATTATTGATGAGCATCCCTTGGTATTTCCCATGAATAGGCATTCAATATATTGTTTTCAACCGCCTGATTGGTTGGAATAGACTGGTGATTACCAGACTGCAATCTATTGCTTGGAGGCTTGCTGATCGGAATTGATTAATGAGATAGGAAAAAATGTTTTATTAGGCATTGATTGATTGATTGATTAAGCGTTAACTGATTGACTGAGAGTTGATTGATTGATTGATTGATTGATTAATTGATTGATTAATTGATTGATTGATTGATCGATCGATTGACCGATTGCTTGGGGGTTTGCTGATTGGCATTGATTAATGAGATAGAAAAAGATGTCTGATTAGGCATTGATTTGTTGATTGATTGCTTTGGCATTGATTTGTTGATTGATTGCTTAGGCATCGATTTGTTGATTGATTTGATTCATTGAATAGGCATTGTTTGATTGATTGATTGATTAATTAAACATTGATCAATCGATTGATTGATCGATTGATTGGCCGATCGATTGATCGATAGGTAGGATCGATTGATTGATTGGTCGATTGGTTGATAGGTAGGTTGGTAGGTTGATTGATTGACTGAAATACGTTTAATTAAGCACTTCGCGATTGCCTGTGATTGATTGATAGAAATACGGTATTTAAGCACTTCGCAACTGCGGGTTCGCCGCTCAAAGAAAGAAGGAAAAAAATCAAAACCCGGTCATCCCGCCAGACAGTTCGCCATCGTTCTCGGCACCTCTTTCCCCGAATAGAACGCATAATCATCACGAATAGACTTACTAAAATAAACTTTTGTCTTCAATAAAATAAAAAAGACTGCCCTAGTTCGTTCTTTCTTTTATGGAAGTGTTTTTCCATGCACAAATTTTTAACGCATTGGGCATTCCCCCCCCCCCCCGTTATTTTGAGCAGATCGGGCAAAACGGATCTCCGCATTCTGTCTGACATCACACCGGCAAAATGCCAAAAAGAACAAATTTCTTCTTCTTTCTTTTTCTCTTTTTCTAATAACAACAAATTTCCCCACATCGGTTTCGCATAATTACGCGAGAAAAGAGGTCGAGGACAGGCCATGCGGAATTTTCTCTCTTTTTTCTTTTTTCGTTCCGCGGCGACAGAAAAAAAAAAAAAAAAAAAAAAAAAAAAACACTATTGAAAAGTTCACAATAAACAAAGTACTTTTCCCTCCATGTATGTTTTTTGGAAAGAAGAGAGAGCTAATCACACTCAATATCACCAGCCAACCATGCTTTGCTTTCACACGACCGCAAGCCCAAACACATCCAGGAATCGAACACGTGACCTCCCGCCTCATGTATGTAAATGTTCGAAAAGGCAGAATGGAATACGCCCATAAATCCCAAAATGTGCGTGGAAAAACAGTACTATATGCTTTTTGTTTTTAAACTCCGTTTCGCTTTTTCTTTTTTCTTTTTTTCCCATTGCCCTCGTTTTTCTTTCTTGCTTTCCTTTTTCCCCTCTTTTTCGTTTCCAGCCTCACTCTCTCACACTCGATTTTTTTCGCCGTCGCTTTTTAAGCGAAATTTTCAAAAGATCGGACTGAACACAATGAACCCACCAAAAAAAAAAAAAAAACGCTCCCCATTTGTCCGAAGATTAGCAGGAAAAAGAAGTTATTGCTTAACGGTTTTCCTTGTCCTTATTTTCTTTTCAGTTTTGTTTTCCTTCTTTTCGTTTCTTTTTTTCTTGCTTTCTCTTTTTCCTCTTTTTTTTTAATTTTCCAGGTTTCCTTTCTCACTCGCTTCTTTTCCCTGTCCACTTACCACTTCGACTGTTCCCTCTTTTTTTCTTTTTGCTTCTTTCTTCGCTAGTTCATTGCTCTTTCTTGGGTTTCTCTCTCTTTTTTTTTCCATCATCATTATGGTTGATTACCCTGCTTCACATGATTCATTCATCATTGTTTCATCAAAATGGTTGATTACCGTCGATAGACTACTTTCATCTCCTTTATCATCTCCCTCCCCCCCCCCTCTCCCCCCCTTCTATATCATCTTCTCTATCATCTTCTCTATCATCTTCTCTGTGATCTGCCCCCATGTAGTATTTCACCACTCCGACTAAGACCTTGCTGGTTTTGACCAACAGCAAGCAGAGGGTAATCTGCTCTATCATCTTCTCTGTCATCTTCTGTCGTCTTTGTTCTTCCGATTAGTGCCACGTGGCGAAAGGTAATCGATCGGTCGATCCAGCCGGATGGATCGCCACGTGGCAAACTGACATGCAAGTATATCTGCGTGGTCCATCGGGATCATAATTCTTATTGGCATAGGAAGGATATAACCTTTGTAAGTGCGTCTCGCCACGTGGCAGACTGCTGAAGCCGTTCGTGAGCCACGTGCATCGGAAGTGGTGCCACGTGGCTCACGAACGGCTCCATAGACGTACGTAGATTCGTGGAAAAGGACTAATTAAGCCGTCAGCAAATCCATCGAGCAGCCGGAAATGGGATATGGCGGCAGGAGAAAGGAGGAATAGAGGATCTCGCGAGGGAAGGACGCGAACAGGGGAAAGAGGCGGGAAGAGGAGGAGAAAGCGGAGAGGGGAATAGGGAGAGGGAAAGAGAAGGAGAAAGAGGAGAGGGAAAGAGGGAGGGGGGACAGAGGAGGGGGGAAACAGGAGGGGGAAAAGAGGAGTAGGAAAGAGAGGAGAGGGTAAGCGGGGGAGGCGGAGGAAAGAGAGAAAGGAGACGAAAGCAGTGGAGAAGAGAGAGGGGAAGGAAGAACGAGGACGAGAGAAAGAGGGCAGGAAGGAGGGGGAAGCAGGGGAGACGAACCGGGAGAATGATGAAGAGGGGGAGGGGGGAATGCGGAAGGGGAGGTGAGAGGGGGAGGGAGAGGGGCAACGTGGAAAAGGGGAGTGGGAAAAGAAGAAGCAAAAACAGAATGTGGGAGGGGGCGGAGAAGGAAGAACAGAGAAGGGAAGGAGGAGGAGAAGGAGGAGGAGGAGGAGGAGGCAGATGGGAATTAAATGGTAGCAGGGCCGCTGCTCACCTGCATCTGGACGGTTTGGAGATGCTTCAAGCCGAAAATCAACGCCTGCCAGCTTCAGATACGCCTGCGCGCGAATGCTTGCCACGTCACACGATGGGAGGCCCCAGCATGGTGACCGTTGCACCAGCGTCTGGACCATAATATCGTGCAAGATATGAAGAGAGGTAGACCAATCTATTTATAGACAGAGCGGGGAGAGAAAGAGGAAGAGACAGAGAGAGAGACAGGAACGACTGCCACTTTTGTCTGTCACCTCTCCAAACCTTCCTGCCACTTGCTGATACCACAAAAATTCAAGAGAGAGAGAGAGAGAGAGAGAGAGAGAGAGAGAGAGAGAGAGAGAATCGAACTCTTTAGGAGAGAGAGGTGCTGGAAGAAAGAGAGACAAGGAATTAGTTTTTCAACCCAGCGCCGCAGAGAGGCAACTCGACTTCATGAACACGTGGAGGGTGCCACAGATTGACACGTGGCAATCTCCCTCCGTCGTCGCAACCCGAGGTCCAGTTGGTTCGAACTCTTTGGGTAGTTTCTTCTCTTCTTTCTTTTCCCCCTTTTTCCGGATACGTTCTTCAACTCCTCGTCAAAAATTAGGCGAACCACGTTTGCAATTAGGGCGGTTCGAGCTCTCGACTATTGCTCTCAGTGATAGAACCTTCTTTGGCAGGGTTCGAACTCCCAGCTTGTGAATGAACAGTACTCTTCATGAAAGTGAGAAAACAACCACATGAGTTCGAACTCTAAACCTCCACGCATTCAAGCAGTATTCGTAGGTGTGGGCAACAACAAGAGACATAACTTCAGTATCCAGCCTTCTCTGTGTGCTCTGCTGTTTTGTTGCTGTGATGATCTGCCGCAGGAATCTGACACGTGTCGCCCTGTGCATCACATTCACCTGGGATTTGAGCCCTTCACCTCTGGGTCTGGCACATCCCGTGAGCTTCCTAACCAGGTTGTCGAGATCGCGATCCGCCCCCCAACACTCCTCCTCCTCCTCCTCCTCCTCCTCCTCCTCCTCCTCCCCTACGCCACTTCGCTTAATTCGTCATCTAAACCCAAAACCCGCTACGTGTCGTCAATCTATCCCCTTATCCAATTCATTATCCTAATTAGATCGGTGATCTGTACACCACCCGGCAAGCAAGACGAAGGGTGGATTATCCTAATCGGTGATCTGTCCACCACCCGGCAAGCAAGACGAAGGGCCTCGCTCCACTACTCACCAATTGTGCAAACTGAGAATGAATCTTCCGTTATAACATGGAAGTGTACACCGCCATATTTTGTGCATTTGATGAGTAGTGGATTGAGGCCCCAAGCCGAGCTGAGTCACACGTGTCGCCGTGTCCGCCCACTTTGCTTGCCACATCACCCTGCTCCTCCGCTGGCGTATCCTACCAGTTACTCGTGGAGGCTGCGGGCATCGCCACGCCACTCTCGAAATGTGCAAAACGAGGATGAACTTCCCGCTAGGACATAGCCAGATCCAGCGGCCACATCGTCGTCTCTTTCACATTTCGAGAGTGGTGTGGCGAGGCCCATACTCATACCACGATAGGCATTTCTCTTTTTTCTTTCCGACCGACCTCAGGACGTAATCACGGTCAGCTGCATCATCGACACGGCCGTAAAAGCGGTCAGATACAGAAAGTGCTTGTGCGAGGTGCAAGTTTAAGCCGAGTACGTGTTCCTGGTCCACCAACGATAGGGCCTCGCCGCACCACTCACCAAATGTACAGAAAGAGAATGAATCTTCTATAAGAACATGGAGATATACACAGAGGTCCACCAACTATAGGGCTTGGCGGACCACTCACCAAATGTGCAGAATGAGAACGAAATCTCCACAAGAACATCGAGAGATACAGGGCCTCGCTGCACTACTCTCGAAATGTGCAAAACGAGAGCGAATCTTCCGCTAGAATATGGAAAGATGCACGGCAATGACTTTTTTTTTTTCTCGATTTATGCGTGTCATCCTTGCGCAGGGGCCCACGATACAGAGAAGGAGGTGGAGGTGGTCAAGGTGCACCTTCTCAAGCCTTCTCTAGCTCTCATGTTAACCCCGCATTTGTACCATCGTCACAGGGACAGCCACTCTATGGCATGCCAAATTGGGCCGGTCACGCTTTTAATCCATGGGCCACCAACATCGGGAGGCATTCAGTCATCGCTCCCATTTCAGATGCAGTATCAAGGAGGGATCCCCCCCTCCTTCATTTATTCCCCGGGAGTAGGAGGTGGCAGTTCCAGCATGATGGGACAGCTTCAGTCCACTATCATTCAACAAGGCACTCAAGGCATACAAGGCGCTCAAGGCATACAAGGCACCCAAGCAGCGGCAGCGTCGGCGTCGGCGGCTCAACAAGAAGGGCCCGTACCCTTACCCCTCGGGGAGCGTCGGGTCCAGGCAGGCCAAGATCTGCCACTCCAGGTAAACAACGATGCCTGGACATGGAAGGGAGCTTTGCCACCAACGATCCTTTAAATGGTGAGTTCTCTGAGTCATCACTCCCGAAATCCGATACTTCACAGAATCAGATTAGGGATATCTGCACACCGGGTAACAAGACAACCCGGAGGAGAACACCAGTTGCCTCCTTGTCGAGTGGCCAATTGCAATCGGTTGAAAACCCAATTCTGCCCTTGTTTTGCACGGCCATTCACAACTCGACTTGGGTGGTTGCGTGGTCCTCCCCTAATAACTTTCTGTCCCTGTTCAGCATACCTTCCCCGGAACAACCCATGCCCTCGGCGATGCATTCTCTAATACGAACCGCCATCTCGGATCGATTTGTCTTTCGGCTTATTCCCGAGTGTTCGATGCCTCACATCATCACCGACCATCCCGCTGAAGGGGGAAAAAGAATCAAATTCTTCGTCCCCCTCATGGACGTCAGATTTGTACAAGGCCAGCTTGAAATGCTGGAAAGCGAAGGCATGAAACTCCTTCCATTGTCATGGATTGCCGAACAGCGCCGGCAAGAGTTGAGACGGATTAAGATCCCCCCTCTTCTCTCAGGCGAATGTTTCGTAGATGTCCATGGGCGGTTATTGAAGGATAAGAAGCTCAACTTTCCCTTCTTTCTTTCCATCCTCACCACCCCTTGGTTAATCTCCTCCTTTGGCTCCCCCCTTATTCAGTCCAGTAGCAGGGGTTCCTTGAGAGACGGGCAAAATTAGACTTGCGTCGTGGAATGTTAGGGGCTTGGGTGATACCACCGGTAGACACAAAAAGGACAGACTAAAGTCTTGGATCTTCGACAATAATATTAAAATTATATGTCTCCAGGAAACGAAATTGTGTGAAGAAAAAATAGCTGCACTGGGCAATTGGTGGGATGGTCCCCAGCTATGGGCTCCTGCCGTGGGGTCGAGGGGGGGTACTGCTATTCTCGTCCACAGTTCACTTGAAGCAGAGATTGTGGATTTTTATTCAGATATCTGGGGTCGTTGGTCATGGTTCAAATGCTTTATGGATGGGTGTTTTTGGGTCTTCGCAAGTATTTATGCCCCTACTGACCCTAAAGCACGTGTGGACTTCTTCTCCGATTTGGCAATTCTCATTCCAGAGGGTGACATAATTATAACTTCGGGAGACTGGAATCTGTCACTGGATCCCCTCCCAGATTCAAGACTGACACAGGATAAAATTGAATTAGCTAACCTGATGGAGGAACAAGATGTAATTGATCCTTACCGGTTGTCCCACCTAGACTCAGATGGCCCTACGTGGTTCTCCAACTATCGAGATACCACAGGCATCACATCACGACGCTTGGATTACTTTTTGAGCTATTCTAATCTGTGGGATCTTATTGACAATGTTTGGGTGAAATCCCATCCAATGTCTGATCATAAGCCTATTGGCATGACCATGCACACGACTGAAGTGACAAGAGGTAAAGGTCTGTTCAGATTCAACACCCAAAACTTAAGTGACCCTGGCCTGATAGAGTGGATGAAACAGTTTTGGACAGATTGGTCTCGCTCTCGTTCCTCATTCGATTCTACTATTTTTTTGTGGGATTCGGGCTCTTCAATTTTCTCGAATCTACTAAATGTCTTTTCTCGAATTCTTGCTTTCAAAAGAAATAACAAGGTGGTCTCCCTCCAGAAGCAAATTGATTATGCGGAATCGAGGATGCTGGAACACCCAGACTTCGTTTGTTGACTGAATGGGATAATCTTCAGATAAATCAGTCGGAGATTTTGGATCGAACGTCTCAGGGTCAAAGGGATTGTGGTCAACGACCGCATGACCAAAGACTCATTTCACAAACTCCTTTCAAAGGGGCTCTCAGCTCCTATGAAGGAGTTGAAGCACCCCTTTGACGAAGTAGCTCCCATCGCGAGGGATCTCAAAGATCTTTACGAATATGCGGCTTTGTATTACAGAGATATTTTGACCTCACGTCAGCAAAGCCCGATCGTCAGATCCGACCTGCACAAACACTCCTCCCATTGGGATAATACTATGGCTCGCATCCCTTCCAGTGGCAAATTGGATCTTGACCGCCCCATCACTGAGGTGGAAGCACACAATGCACTCAATTCGATGTCTGTCGGGAAAGTTCCCGGCAATGATGGCCTACCAACGGAGTTGTACCAGTCCATTTGGGAAGTGGTAGGCGAACCTCTGGTGAAAATTTACAATGAAGTGTTGAACGGAGGAAGATTATCTGCCAACATGTGTAAAGGGATAATATCGGTGTTTTTTAAGAAAGGGGAGAAATCACAGATTCGGAACTGGCGTCCGATATCCGTTTTGAACGTCTCGTATAAAATTTTGGCAAAGGTTCTCGCTAGAAGACTAGGACGTTACGTGCCATAAATTGTTCATTCTGATCAGGTTGCATTTGTAAAAGGCAGATCCATATTTGACAATATCGTCACAACTATCGAAACCCTTGAAATAGTTCAGTACGAGCAACTGGATATCGCTGTGCTTCTTCTCGACATGGAGAAAGCATACGACCGAGTAAATTGGTCGTATGTTCCGTCTACCCTGAATCACATGGGCTTTGGCCCAAATTTCTGCAAATGGGTAACAGCGCTGTATTCACTGTCTACTGCTGCGGTCATGATAAATGGGAGACTGTCGAGCGAATTCGCCCTGACCAAATCATTGCGCCAGGAATGTCCCCTGACCCCTTTATTATTCGCTATCCAAATGGAAGGCGTCCTGAATAACATCCGGGCTCACACTCAGATAACGGGTCTGTCCGCTGGGCCGTCACAGCTCAAGGCAAAAGCCCTGGCGGACGACCTGTTTGTTGTCTCCCAAAATTCACCCGACTCTCTATCTGCGGTCAAGGCCTGTCTGGATGAATATGCTATCTTATCCGAAGCTGCGATTATTTGGCACAAATCAGCGGTCTTCCTCCTCAAAGTCTACGCCCTCTGCGTAGAATGGGGAATGACGCGGACCAGACAACGATTCAGAACGCTTTTTAGGAGTCCTGATCGCTTTGAGAAACTGCACGGCCTCCCAAGACAGCATCTTGATTCAAAAAGTCTCCCATCGAATAACAACGTGGGGCAGTGCACCTCATCTATCCCTATTTGGACGAGCCATGGTAGTTAACAGTGCCCTCTTTGCACTTTTGTGGTATGTCGGTAGAGTTCGTGGCTTGAGGAAGGTGTCTTACTCCCTAATCAGAAGACGGGCGGCCCAATTTATTTGGAAACATTACGCAAGGGATGAGGAATCATTTATTACCAAAGTGGGGTGGGATATGTTGTGCTTTCTACGTGAGGAAGGGGGCCTAGGTATACTCGACCCCCACAACAATGTTGTGCACCTGGATCGCCAAGGCGGGACTTTTGTTCCCCTTCCCCCCATTGGGTTCATTTGGCTGAACGTATCCTTGGCCAGGAATGGAATTTGAGCCGCCCTGAGGATGTATGGATGTGTGCCTTTCTGTTCTCGTATAAACGACTACACATTAAATCACAGTTCTGGTTTGCCATCTTCCAGGTTTGGAGGAAACTCCGTCCAGATATCTGGCGCGAACCTCAAACCAAACCAGAGGTCTTGCTTCAGCCACTGTTTGAAAATCCCAGAATACGGGACTCACTCGGTGATTGGTTCAAGGCCGATTCCTCTCCAACTAGTTTCGGCAGAGGCTGGATCGAAAAGGGGGTGTTACGCATCCAGGACATATGGGATACTATCCTTGGTACATGGTTATCTGATGAGGACCTTAAAACGAAGCTAGGTCAGGTCCGACGTCTACAGGAACGGAAAAAGTCACTCATTGATGCCATCCCAGAAGACTGGAATGCTATCTTGGCCCCACAAGGAGTTGACCCTCCTAGCACATGGTTTGTCGCTTCACAGCCTCCACCCAGGACATTGTGGAAACTTACAGCAATCAATAGTGAGGGCACAAGAGAATTTCAATCTTGGTCTATATCTGGCTCCTTGCCACTACAACAGAAAAAATGTGAAAAAAATCCATCAAGTTTCCAACTCGGTGCCCGTGGTGGACCAGCGTTGGAACGACGATAAATGCCTTGCCCAACCGTTGGACCATCACCGTTGTGTGTTTCCAACAGTTTGATCAACACGTGGTCAACGTTGGTCCAA